ACCAACTACGCGCTGCCTAAGCCCAAACTATCCTGACAACACAAGAACCTCGAAAAAATACAAGCTGAACACACACGTCTTGACCTAAGACACAGCGTGTACCAGTTCCTACCCCGCCAACGTCACCTCTTCATCACTCTTGCCTGCTTTCAATCGCATCCACCTAGAAGCGCACCACAACAACCCTTACGATGACTACAAGAACTCGCTCTCCGGGCTTCGGCGACACCACGAGCATCAACCTAAATCGCTTGTTGTCCAGATTAGACCGTTTAGTACTGGTCGACCCGTCACCGCAGTTGCGAAAGTCCACCTACGAGCGCGCACGTGTGAGCGCGGTAAGCTTCACACAGTTATACATTCTATTGCATACACTGATGGTATCATAGAACATTGAACATGCCCGTACCCTACTCCTCAGCCTCGAACACTCTGCCTCTACGATACCCTCCAAGTCGAAGAAAGCCGAACTACAAAACGACCTACAGCAGAAACGCGAACTCATAAAGCAACTCAACCAACGGATATACGAGCTTAATCAGCTAGACGACACGGAGTCAGAGGGATCGGTAGATTCTGATGAAGAAGACGCGGACCAGTTTCCCTCGTATGCACCGAGAGTGAAGACAGAAGCAGGGCGCGATGTGTCGACATCTACAGAAGGCAACGAAGCATTTCAGAATGCAGCACAAGGCATCGCGTCAGAACTGCGCCGAAGAGGCAAGCCAGAGGCGAACGCAGCAGGGACTCAATCAGCATCCGGCAACTCTTTGTTTCCGTCCAAATCTACCTCAAGCACAGCCGACCCTTCGCTTGCGAAAACAGAAGCGCTCCTCTCCCACGAACGCAACGAACAAGAAGAGCTCACGACGGACTTGCTAGATATGGCAAGACAACTGAAAGAGCAGTCAATACACTTTGGGAACACGCTCGAAGGGGACAAAGGCGTAGTGGATCGCGCACTTGCAGGGCTAGACAAGAACACGTTGAACATGGATGCTGCCAGCAGGAGAATGGGTGCCCTGCGGAGGATGACTGAAGGCAAGGGTTGGTGGGACAGGATCAAGCTGTATGGCATGATCGCGGGGCTATGGGTGATCGCCTTCCTGATCGTCTTCGTTGGGCCGAAGATTCGTTTCTAGGGCGACTCTCGATCCTGCCCATCCATGTCGCAGCCATCAGCCCTGAACAGTCGTATACGCATTGCAGGGGTTAGAATTGTTGGCGGAATCACAGCGCAAGCTCTGATCGACTGCGAGCATCACGAACAGCATCGTACGATTATTATACCCACCCAATTCACTTCATTTTCATATCGGTCTACACGCAGTACAGCGCATTGTTACCGTCCCAGTGGTTCAATCTTGAGTACTCCACGATGGGGCTGCCCGATCTTCACGGCTGAGCCACGTCAAATCTGGACCCTGCGCATCTGCATGTACCCGCTTAGCGGCTTCGAGCTTCATCTTAATGTGTGCTGTCGCTCGACAACAACATAACACAGCACCACGCACCCTTCTCACGCGATTTTTATTGTTATAATTGGTGTCGCGACAACATGGCCGCCATGGAAATGCACTCATTGGGCGCGCGCTGTACGTACTCGAAGCCTGACACGCCGTGACGGACAATCACTACCGCTCACAACCTACAATGCGCATTGCCTGACAAACATCTCCAGCACTAAACCACGCGTCCGCCGATACCGAAGCCGAGTACGACCGTCTCCGCGACCTTGCGCGCCAAGAAGCCGCAAAACGCTCCTCCTGCTTCGACAAAGCCCACCAAGCGTACGAATCCGGCGATGGAGCGCGCGCCCACGAGCTGTCCGAAGAAGGCAAAGCCCACGCCGCGAAGATGGACCAATACAACCGTCAGGCGCGCGACTACATCTTCAGGGAAAACAATGCCGAGGGCAGAGTCGCGGGCGACACCATCGATCTCCACGGCTTATTCGTCGAAGAGGCCGAGGATGTTCTGGAAGAGAGGATTAGGGTTGCGAGACAGAGAGGTGAAGGCCATCTACACGTTATTGTGGGCAAGGGAAACCACAGCAGGAATCATGTCCAGAAGATCAAGCCGAGGGTCGAGCAGGTGTGCCGCGAATTGGGATTGCAGTATCGCACTGAGGAGAACGAGGGTAGAATCTTTGTGAATCTGCAGGGTGGTGATGTGCATGAGATGCCGCCGCCTCCTCAGGCACCGAGCTATGGAGGGTATCCTGGACAGCATGGGGGTCAGCATGGGGGTCAGCATGGGGGTCAGCACGGTGGTCAACATGGCGGCCAGCAACATGGAGGTCACCAGCAGCATGGTGGTCAACAACATGGTGGCCAACAGCATCATGGACAACAGCAGGGTCAGAACGATGAGATTGAGCAGATGGCCAAGAAGGGCTTGTCTAGGTTGCTTAAGAAGCTTGGGTGCTGTACGGTTATGTAAGGCTGTCATTGATCTACTCTTGTGTAGGTTGCAGGGGTAGTACGGAGGGCTGCAGAGACGTTCAGAGCACGTTTGATACCCGCGGATTGGATGAAGAGATGAGGTTGGAAAGGGACGATTTGGATGTATATAGGTGGTATATATTTGGATATAGCAAAACCATAAGAGTATATGAAGTCCCACTAAAATATCGCGTTTCCTTGTTCATTACTTTTCACTTCTCATCTCACCAGCTGAACCTCTTTCGTATAAGAAAGAGATCCACCATGTAGACACAAAAGCCGTGCGGACTTCTCAAAAGAAACAGAAAGACACAGGAGCATCATCAGGAACAGATGATGGCATGGAACAACTGACATGAATTGATAGCCATCCATTTCAAAGTAAGAAAGAAACGGCGCAATCGAACGCACCGAGAAATCTCAGAGAAGAACTCAAGCTCATATGGATCTTGAATGCGCAAGCCCCACATGACATCGTCTTTCGCATTGAAACCAGAAGTGCTCCCGAAGATGATGAAAATATGCTCACTGCAACCTGTATAATGCTCAATCAAGCCGAGACGTGCATCGTATACTTTGCACAATGGAGTCGGCTGCAACGACCTGACATCATGCTGCACCCTGCCGATAAGGCTGGTACGACGGAGGCGTTCCCTTCCTTCCGAAGACGCATGTAACAACGTTTGTGCGAAACCTTGTGTAATGAGTGACGTCTTGTGTGCTGTGGAGACGGATTGAGGATGTGAGATCCATGGTGTTCATAAGGCTGCATGTGCATCTCATCTGAACAGAGAAAATGGCGAGGATGTGTAGTGATACAGCGACGTCATCTTGTCCTGTCTGATATCCTGTTCTCTGAATGCAACAGAAGCTTCGATAGATTAGTCTGGTGTAACGAACCTTTGATGAAAGTCGCGAATGACGTTCACGGAGCCCCGGCCCGTTCCTCCACTTTCCATGCGCCTCGGACGCTGAGCACCCTAACATTCTACACCTAAACAACCAACACATAAAGTACACAGCATGATGACACAGACGCAACCGCCAGCCATCCCGTCGCCTCGGCCAGACCTCAGCGCCAAACTCCCCAAGCTCGTCCCCCGCAAACGCGCCCCCACATCGCGAGAACCGCCGTCTGCCCCTCCCCCACCGACGCCCTCGTTACCCGCGCCGCCGAATCTAGAGAGACATACGTACACGCGACCCTCGAGGCGCATATTGAGCCCAGAAGATCACCAGTTGTTCCTCAAGAGCAAGACATGCACGCTAGTCGAAGCGTTCGTGTTCGGCATCGCCGACTCAGTACGCGACCGCAGCATCTCGAGCATCAAAGATGAAGAAGTCACAGTCACAGTCAAGACAGTCGTGCAGATACTAGCAGAAGCGGAAAAAGTGCTAGACAGGTGTCCACCAGAAGATACAGGCTCGCGCTTCGGCAACCCAGTCTTCCGCACCTTTCTCGATGAAGTCGAGACCGTGTTACCGCTATGGCACGAGAAGCTCGGGTTGAACGACAAGGCGCAGGTCGATGAGATAGCGACGTACCTCCACAACTCCTTCGGCAACAAGCGAAGAATAGACTACGGCTCCGGTCACGAACTCAACTTCTTCCTCTGGCTGCTCTGTCTAAACCGCATCGGCATACTCCCCGATACTACCTTCCCTGCGCTCGCCCTCGTCGTCCTCCCCGCATACCTCCGCCTTATGCGTCGCGTCCAGGAATCATACTACCTCGAGCCAGCGGGTTCGCATGGTGTCTGGGGCCTGGACGACTACCAGTTCCTTCCGTTCTTGTTCGGCGCAGCGCAACTGCTTCATCACCCCTACATCACACCGAAGAGCATACACAACGCGTTGGTACTGGAAGAAGAGAGCAAGGAATTCCTTTACCTGGATCAAATATCCTTCGTCAACTCCGTCAAGAACGTCGAGGGTCTGCGCTGGCATTCACCCATGCTGGACGATATATCCTCTGCGAAGTCATGGGCGAAGATCGAATCTGGGATGCGGAAAATGTTCCGCAAGGAGATTCTGGAGAAGCTACCTGTTATGCAACATTTCCTGTTTGGTAGCTTGGTGCCGCCTGTTGAGGGCATGAGCACGGAAGAAGAGGCGGGTGTGGAGAAGGAGGAAGAAGAGGAAGAGGGTGGGGAGGTCAAGGTTTTTGATGATGAGACGGGGAAGAGACATGTACATGCGAGTGCGGGTTGGGGTGATTGCTGCGGTATTCGTGTACCGGCTGCGGTTGGCGCGGAGGGTGAGGCGAGGAAAGGTGGTGCGAGGGGGTTAAGGAGGGTACCATTTGATTAAGACTTGAATAGACCATGAAGAGTGCAGATGGGTGTCTGTAAAAGAATAAAAAAAGACTCCGTTAAAAGACTACAGATCCGAGAAGAAGAAATGGGTATAAGACTCCACTGATGGTGTCGGGTATACCTAGGTAGACTAACAATCAACAAATCCACACCTCCAACTCAAACCAAAGCTACCATCCGAACCTCCCCCAACAATCCCACCCCCACCATCCACCATCTCTACCCCATCACCCCACGCCTATCATTCCACCCGACCAACCGTCGCAGCCCTCCTCCTCCTCGTCCCCGCCTCCAAATTCAACAACGCAAACCTCTCCAACAAAACCGCCCTCTGCACCACCGTCTCCTCATCTTCCCCCTCCTCCTCCTCCTCCTCCTCCTCCTCCTCCTCCTCCTTATCCCCTACCCTATCCCCAACCGGACTCTCCACCCTCCGTCCCACATACCCATTCTCCTCCAACACCTCACCCAACGCACTCCTCGTACTGCTCTCAAACGCAATGCCAAACCCGCCGCCAGTCCGCGACATGGCGGTCGCGGTGCACAGCCAATTCTGTGTGGCGGCTGCTACGCGGCTTACGGTTGTGGCGCCGGGTGGGGAGCGGCGGGCGGTGAGGAGGGAGAGGGCGGCGAGCGGTTTTTTGAGCTTGGTGGTTAGGGAGCGGGTTAGTTGGAGGGGTGTGCGGTGTCGGGGTTTGGGTCCGGGTGGTGCTGGTGGGGCGGTGGTGTCTGGGGGGATGGGTGTGCTGGTTTGGGGGCTGGCGAGTGTGGTTGTTAGGGGGGCGGGCAGGGTGAGGGTTATTGTTGGTGTTGCTGGTGGTGATGATGGTTGTTTGTCGTAGGGTGGAAAGGCGGATTGGGCTGTTGAGGTGGATGAGGTTGAGGCTGAGGTGGAGGGCTTGGGTGTGTCGACTGTGGTTACTGAGACGGAGTTTCCTAGGGTTGTAGAAGGGGTGTTTGGTTCGTTGAATGCGAGACTTGTGAGTCTGCGTCTGATGTTTAGGGTGTTGCTGGGGAGTAATGTTGTTAGAGTCAAGTTGGAAGAGAAAGGCGGTAGTGGGGAAAGAGGAGGATGTATAGGGGGACTTACAGGGGAGTCTTCGTGTCGGAGTCACGATGAGGCGTGTCTGCTGGATGTAGAAGTGGTGACGGTGTTGAGTTTGTGCGAGAGGGTATCGGAGTAGACAGCTCTAATCGGCGAGGTTGTTGCGGAAATGGTGATGGCGAAGGCGTAGTAACTGCAGAGTTGGTGACAAGCAACCGGTTCTGTGCTTCGCCATCTTGACGAACTGGCACCCGCTGAGCTTGTGGTGACGGATATTGACGAGCTCTCAGCGAAGCTGGGTCTTCTACAAGACGATGCTGCTGCTGACTCGAAGAAGACGAAGCCCGTGATGATGGAGTGTGGGAAATTCTCAGCGAGCCAGAGCCTTCTACCCGGCGGTGCTGCTGCTGAGCCACCGGCGACGGAATCGAAGAAGGCGGCAGCGAACGATCTGGCACTGGCTGAACTCGTGGCAATGGACTGTGAGCTACTCTCAGCGAGCCAGAAACTTCTGACACTGGACGAGGCTGTGGTGAAGGAGTAAGGGGAACACCCAGCGGGATATACGTTCCAAACCGACGAGACTGCTGCTGAGCCGCAGGCAACGGCGAAGAAGGAGGCGAACGTCTTGACCTTGACCTGTCGATACGCAACGGCCTGGGTACGTCGACGTCCTTCGCATCTGGTACTGACTGTAGAAGCGGCATGGCTAGAACGAGGAGATGGGTATCAAGTCGCTGAACGCACGTCAATGAAGGAGAGAAGATGTTGAGAGTCGTTGACAAAGAAATCGTCTGGGTATCTGGCAAAAGAGGAGAATCTTGGGGAACTGAGGTACTAGGTCCACCGGCCCTCTTGTACTGAGTTGCTTACATACTCCAGGGTGTTCTCGTGCTGTAATGGATTAGTCGCCATGATGCAGGTGTATGCTCTATCGCATCGTCTTTGAGCTCCGGAGGGTTAGCAGCTCTCCGTTTCCAGTGTTGATGTATTTGGTACTGTTGAGACTCAGGGTCAACCATGCTGTGCATTTGCATGTGAAAGCAGTCTTTTGAGACATCTTGATGCGTCCAACAGCGGCGGTCCGTGATCACAAAACTTCATGTAACCTTGGAATTCAGGGACGACGCATGCCTCGTCTTTACAAGAGACAGCGATCGACGGTGTAAGCGCAAGCCACCACAACGGACTGGCTGAAATATCAATAAATGCTTTCAAAAGACAAGAAAGTGGCTGAACACCTACTAATATACCATCTTCTGCCCTCGTAAGTCCTTATCCAAAGAGACCCTTTCTCCTCATCCAGTCTCCACTACCCAGGTTCACGTCAAGGGTCAACCAGTGCCGCACCCAACATCCCGATAGCGATATTACAATGACACCCTTATCATTGCATCACCTTTACTTCTTCATATTTCTACTCGTAATAATACTGACATGGTTCCTTTCCGACTCAAACAGTGCAGCCGTCATGCCGTTGCCTTCGGACAAACAAGTGAACACCACAGAACAAACGTAGTAAACCGAACCAAAATTCCATTCTAACATCCGGGGTGACGATATAGTCTACCCTTTGCAACGCCTAAGTGAACGCCCATCTATGCATGCTATACTAATAATCTTGCCAAACCAAAGTACGGCGCAGTACCAAAGATTCTAACCCAATATGATGCCTCATGTGCGGCGCGTAACGAAGTCCGAAAAACAAAGGGTCTGCACAAGGCGACCATGAGACCCCGTCCCAGATGAACCACCCTAAATGTGCAACCAAAAAAATGAAGAACAGAAGAAGTTCTACGTAGCCGAAGCCGACAAAACAACGGATCCACTCCTACATGCCATGACCTGAACATACTCTCCGTCGGCATTCAACATGATGCCCTTTGCAGCCTCTTCGTCGACTGGCTTTTCAACTTTCTTCAAGAAAGATTGAGGAATTCCAGTAGTACGTTTGGCTTGGAAAACAGGCTTGAAATCGGGATCGTCGTTGGTTGGATGCACCCATCTAATCATCCAATTCACTAGGCGCCTCTTCAAGCTTGTGTCTCCTCTCCTCATCCATCTCCTTATAACTCGCCCAGGACAGCAGACTAAACGCGCCGATGATGAGAAGTCCTCCAACAATAGCCGCGGGTGTAAGAGGTGAATTGAGCGGTGGGGGCAGAAGCTGGTCGACGAGCGCGACAATGAAGATGGTGAGGAGGGCGGCGACGGAGGAGAGGACGGGCGAGGTGAGGGAGATGAGCGCGAGGAAGGCTCCTGAGAAGGCTGCGTAGAACGTTAGTATGACGGTGTTTTGGGGAAGGAACGGAGGGATGAACATACTAGCATTGGCCAAAACACTGATTGCCATCATCCACGCCTGCTCTCCATGCGGCAGCTCAAACAACTCCCAGCCCATGTAATGCAAGAATGGCAGCGGAATCCACAGCACGCTCAAAGTGAACGCGCCAATCAAACTACCAAACAGGTTCGCGAAAATAACACCCTTGTTCGGTGCGGCGCCTTCAGGCGGGCACGCGAGTCTCTTGTACAGCACTTCGTACAGGCCATACAAGACACTGCCAATACCAATGACGAGGTTGCCAAAAGCGCGGTTCTCAGCTTCGTGCGACGGGGGCGCCTTGTCGCCGCCGGCTCCGCCTCCGGATTTAGAACCGTGCTTTGCGGGGGACTGGTCGCCGTATGCGACGACGAAGACGCCCACGATGGCGATGGCGACGGCAACGACCTTGCTCGCGCGTACTTTCTCGTGGAGGATGGGGATGCTGAAGGCGTAGGCGAAGAAGGCAGAGCAGTTGTAGATGGCGGTCAAGTCGCTGGCTGTCGTCTGGTTGACGGCTACGTACCAACTTCCGCCGGCGAGCGTGAGAGCGCATGTGATGAAGGATGTCATCTTGAGCATGTAGCGGACGGGCGAGACTTGGGATTGGCGCGGCGTGGGGTGTAGGTTCTGGTGCTGGACCATGAGGGCGGTTTGGCGCAGCAGCTGGACGTGGCGCCGCCAGAAGGTCGGCCACGGTTCGTTCCAGTGCTGGAGTCGCAGCAGGAAGAGGGTCGCGGGCCAGAGCACTATCCACGAGCCGTGCGTCATGTACAGCATGCAGTACGGCTTCTCCCATTTCAACTGATGCTGGATGTATACCGCCGTCTCGGTCTGCACTGTAAAGCTCACCAGACTCAGCGCAAGCAGAAACGCGGCGTAAGTGTACTTCTTCCGCGTCTCGTGCTTGGCTTGCATCTCGGGATCCCGCTCGTGGAAGTGATGTGTGCTCCTTCCCAACAACCCGTCGTCCATGTTGTCGTCCTCCGTCTTGCGCCCGAGCAGGGGCGCATTCGCGCGCCCATACTCGGCATGGTCCAATGAGGGTCTCAGATCTGACGGCATGGCCGCGTCGTGTTCATCCCAGTCGTCGAACTCGAGTTCTGAATTGCCAGGGCTATCTGGTTCTCTGAGCGCTGACTTGCCGTTGGCTTTGCGATGTTGGCGCGACGAAGAGCGTGTGCGAGAGAGTTGGCGAGAACTCGACCCGGAAGCGACGACGGGCGAGGTACTTCTATTTGGGGGCTCGAGGGTGAAGTCCTCGGAGAGGGTGTGGACGAGAGTCTTGCGAGGATGCGGCGGAGGCTTCTTCCTCAGCGGTATGGACTCAGCAGGCATAAGGTGAGTGGAGGCGCAAGCGAATGACAGTACCGGATGGTAGGTGAGTGGGACCGCTGCACGCGTGTGATAGTCTTGGGCGGCAGGACACTATGCTGTCTTGGACAGTGGTAAGCAGCTGGCGATATCCAGGTGTTCACAATGCGATGCGGCCCCTGCATCCCCAGGTGCCGTAACCTCCGCGAGAACTCCGCTCCAAGAGCCCAGTGTCCAATCGCGCGCCAGCTACCTCCGTGCCCACGCGTCCCAGCATGCCCACAAACTTAGACGCTCCCCCTTTCATCTCCATCCTCCAAAAACACGCTCTGCGGCTCCATCACGTCCGTCACGAAGGTTGGGTGTCGACCGCAGTTCCGCCTGAGCACGTCATAGCTTAGCCTCATGCGTGAGAGCGAGCCGCCTTGCATCTAGGGTCATGTGAGAGATAATAACCCCACGCACACCACCTGGGCACCCATGTGCCAGCAAGTGTCTCGCATTAGCGGCACACTCATGAACCATGAGCGCGGCCGGATGTTTTCGAGATACACGCGGTAACCTAGGTACTTTGGGTTGGAAACTGGGCGCCGTCGTTGGTGGAGGGGAGAGAAGTGGTGGTTGCGCCTTGAAAACTAACAGAATAGAAGGCGCACAAGACTTGTAGAGATAAGACATGAGTGATGCTCTTACAGTCCAGCCCGCCTTTGTCCATTTTCGGCTCTCTATGTCTTCGCAAGCCATCCTGCCTTTGCAAGCACCCATTACTGCATTCAGGGAAAAGACTGGGCACGTATCTCCCGCGAAGTATAACTATAGAAAAAAGCTAAGGAGGCTATATCGTCTT